CCCGAAAAGGAAAGAGTTTTCCCTCCGTTTCTTCGTCCCAAAGCACCCAGAAACTAGGGTTTCTCGAACAAATCGAAAAGGTTAAGATTTGGAAGGGAGATCGAAGCCATTAATACACAGAGGAAGAGCAATAAACGAAGGCTCTTGCGCAGAAAGTGAGGTTTTTGGTGAAAGCGAGACGCTTTTTTTTTAAGAGGACGCGAGCGAAATGATGAGGAAACCGGCAATGAGACAGATGGAGATGGGCCGCGTGACCGAACAAAAAAAATGTTTCCTTGAAAAAAGATATTTATTTATTTTTCTTTTAAAGTTACAATTTTGAGGACTGATCGTATTTGTAGCTGTCAATCTGAAATTATTTTGGATCGATTTGTTACTTAGTTTTTCCTATTTTAAGGATTTTACCTTTTTTTTTCTTTTATAAATGGGTAATAATTTAGGGAAAAAAATGTTGTTTTCCATACATTTCTTCAATGTGTTTATTAGGTTACATACCTCAATGAGCTTCAAGTTACCAAATACGATGTGATGTGTCCATTTATAATTTTGTATTAGGTTTGCATACTCTACTATAATTTTTTTCTACTTAAATATCTAATATTTTAGATAAACAAAAATATTTACTATACTTTTATTTACATGTAATTTATGAAGTTTTGTTTATTATAGGACTTTTCTAAAATTTGACGTTATATCAATTTATATTGGAAATTCTATTTTTTTAGTAAAAATATTCACTTTTTTTTTTCCTTTGCTATGTCTCTTCTTCTTTTTTTTTTTTTACGAGGCATGACCCTATAATTAACGTTTTGACAAATTTTGTGCGGTTAATCAAATCCCCCGATTGTTGAGGTTGCATCTTGAGATGCTATTAATGGTGTCAAAATCAAACAGTTTACTATATTAGCATAAAAACAACAAAGATCGTTTCTGTTCGCAACTCATTTAATAAGAAAAAAAAATTGGCCGCTTTAAATTAACATGTATAAAATATTTTTTACAATTGAAAAATATATGTTTTAATTGGGGGAAATTTTTTTTATTTAATATTTAAGCGGCGTGATCGTGCTTCTTTTTCTTTTCTTTTCTTTTTTTTTTTTTAAAAAAAAAGGCAAAAAAGACCTTTGTGGTGCAATAATCATTCTACCTAAACCGATACCGAAGTTGACCGAGACAACCGAGTCAAGCTCAAACATACCATTAGTCCAATAAATATAAATTTTAAAAAGATTTATTTTAGGTGAAAAATTAAGGACAATTTAAATGCTGCACAAATTTTGTAGAAGACAAAAAAAAAGTGCATAATGTACATATTAAAAACTAACGAATTTCAGTTTTTTTATACATTTATTTTTTACCAAAACCTTGTTCTGAATTTGAATTCTTTATTGAATTTATCTAAAAATTTTAAAATCTCTAAACAGTACTAGATATACCAATAAGACTTGTAAATTTCTAACATCAGCCGTTACAGGTAACCATAATCTCAGATATCATCATAATCAAACGTCTATACATAATTATTAGAGGTCCGGTTTAGACGAACCAACAAGCTCTTGGCCAAAAACTTAAACCGGACCAATGTTCAATTTCCAACAAAGTTCTAGGGACCAAAATGTAAAATACAAGCTTTAGGGCATAATTTAATGGCTAGGATTACTACAAGGGTCAAGCTGCAAATTTACCAAGAATCTGCGGACAAGTCGTAAACTATATATAGCCAATGGATACCCATTGAAAAGGTCCCTTCCCTCTTCTCCTCTCCCCTGTCTCTCTCTTCTCCAATCAAACAGAAGTTCAGACTTTCTCATCCTTTCCCGAGAATCAGACGAGCCCTTTCCCTGTCGGAAAAAAAAAAATCTAGAGAAAATGAGAGAAATCCTCCATATCCAAGGTGGTCAATGCGGAAACCAGATCGGAGCCAAGTTCTGGGAAGTCATATGCGACGAGCACGGCATCGATCACACGGGACAATACTGCGGAGAATCCGATCTCCAGATAGAGAGGATCAATGTGTATTACAACGAAGCGAGCGCTGGAAAGTACGTGCCACGCGCGGTTCTGATGGATCTGGAGCCAGGGACGATGGATTCGCTGAGATCGGGGCCGTTCGGGCAGATTTTCCGACCGGACAACTTCGTGTTCGGGCAATCTGGGGCAGGGAATAACTGGGCGAAAGGTCATTACACGGAGGGAGCGGAGTTGATCGATTCGGTTCTCGATGTCGTCAGGAAAGAGGCTGAGAATTGTGATTGCCTCCAGGGTGAGACCCCTTCCTTTTTTTCCAAGTTTCTTTTGTTTCTGATTGGCACATTTTCATGGTTTTCTCTTGGAATCGAGATCATGTTTCAAAAAATGAGGAACCCGTCAGACAAATTGGTTTGAAAATGTTGTCGGCTTGTCTGAATCCTACAAAGATCTCTTGAATCGTCGTCATCTTGAAGCTATATGCTGTTCTAAATTTAGATTTTCTTCGTAGCATCATATGATCGCCTTTATTTCGATTTATTCCAATGGAACAGGATTTCAAGTATGCCATTCTCTTGGAGGTGGAACTGGATCTGGAATGGGAACTCTTCTCATTTCCAAGATAAGGGAGGAATATCCAGACCGTATGATGATGACTTTCTCGGTTTTTCCTTCCCCTAAGGTCTCCGATACCGTCGTCGAGCCATACAATGCCACCCTTTCCGTCCATCAGCTCGTCGAGAATGCCGACGAGTGCATGGTTTTGGATAACGAGGCTCTCTACGATATCTGCTTACGCACCCTGAAGCTCACTAACCCTACATGTGAGATTTCTGATTCTGATTTCATGATCTCGATCTTTGATTGTTTCTTGATTCTTGACATAACCCTATTCTGATTGTTTTCTCAGTCGGTGATCTTAACCATCTCATCTCCGCTACCATGAGCGGTGTCACCTGCTGTCTGCGGTTCCCGGGTCAACTCAACTCGGACCTCAGGAAACTAGCTGTGAACCTTATCCCGTTCCCACGGCTCCACTTCTTCATGGTCGGGTTTGCACCTCTCACATCAAGAGGGTCACAACAGTACAGCACCCTGTCTGTTCCCGAACTTACCCAACAAATGTGGGATGCCAAAAACATGATGTGTGCAGCCGACCCTCGCCATGGCCGCTATCTAACAGCATCCGCCTTGTTCCGTGGCAAGATGAGCACAAAGGAGGTCGATGAACAGATGATGAACGTCCAGAACAAGAACTCTTCCTACTTTGTCGAATGGATCCCGAACAACGTCAAATCCAGCGTCTGCGACATCCCACCAAAGGGTCTGAAAATGGCATCCACTTTCATCGGAAACTCGACTTCAATCCAGGAGATGTTCAGACGGGTGAGCGAACAGTTCACCGCTATGTTCAGGAGAAAGGCTTTCTTGCATTGGTACACTGGCGAGGGAATGGATGAGATGGAGTTTACCGAAGCAGAGAGTAACATGAACGATCTTGTTGCGGAGTACCAGCAGTATCAGGACGCTACCATCGGCGATGAGGAGTACGAGGAAGAAGAGGAGCTTGAAGCTTGAGATTGATTTGAACCGATGCATAAGTTTGTGAGTTGAATTATTATCATTCCATTTCATTTTTCTTGGTTTTTTCTTTCCCGGGTTTCTCGATTTCTTTATCTTCCTTGTGTTTTCCATTGCGTGCCAAACTCGGATTGGGACTTGAGTGTGTATATTTCCAGTGAATTCCATTGGGAGGCATGACGAGCTTCTGTGTCTGTTCTTTGTGTTTGTTAATGAAAAACATTTCATATTACCACGTCTCGACTCTGCAGATTATGTTCCAACAACAACTAAAAGCAGTGATCTTGATTGTGTCTGAAACATTCTGCAAAGTGTCAAAACTGTTTGTCAAATTACACATCCTATAACTGCTGTCGTGATCCGAAACCTTAGGACAACTCAGATCCTGAATCTTCCCCTGCTGGTTTAGGTTTCAGTTCTAAGCTCTGCATTGCCATTCTATTTCTTCTTCTTCTTCTTCAACGATATCGGCCCAGCTCTTCTTAGCCTCACCCATCATCCCGTGATCTTCGGTTTCTGTGATGAATTCATGGAGACCATGAATCAAGCTGTGGTCCAATCTCTTTCCGCCCAATGTTTCTTCTTTGCTCGAAGCTACCGGCTCTTCTCTCTCGAGGTTCTGTTGTTCAGTACACAGAGGATTCTCAAGTAATAGTCTTCGAACCGAACCTCCCATCTCTCTGCACGTCCTTTTTCTTCGGTCCCCTTCTTCGTAGCATCCTCGGGGTTGTGTAAACAGTCCTGAAGGGGAAACATTTGAGTTCTTGAATGCATCAGAACAAGAACTTTGAGAGCAGCCATCCAGAGCGTTGTCTTCTGCAATATCTGCTCTTGCATCATCGTTTTCATTTCTAGATTCTGTTTCTTCCAACATCTCGATAGCTCGTTCAAAGGATTTGGAGAATGGCTCGTCTCTCCATTGACTTCCTAGACAGTCTCTTACTTCCTGAAGCATAGATCTAGCTTCAGGGAGTCTGTCCATTCGCATCAAGCATATCGCAAGGTTGCACATCTTGTTCTTGTCTGGTTCTAAAGACAAAGCTCTCCTGTCACGAGAACCGGCTAATAGATGTTAAGAGACAAGATGGCTTTTCGCTAAACTGAGCTCAATTACTGTCTAATTCCCAAGATCAAAACCTGTAATGATGCTCTGCAATTCCATAGTTATGTAGCTGCAAGTGAACCCAAGCCAGGTTCCCTAGTAACCTGTTATGTCCAAACGACCAAAGAGGTGTCAGAGAAAACACCCGAGAGAGCAGAAGTAGGCAAAGAATTTAGGAGGGGATTAGCTTTTATTAAACCTCGCCCTCTCTTGCTCGATAGTCACGGTAACCTGCTTTCCTTGGCTCCTTTTCGTTTTTGTGATCGTTCCACCAAATGTCATGCCATCTTCTAGGTTTCTCAGTTTGGTTTCGAGTAGCTCAGCTTCCTCTTCGATCCTACCCGACTTCTGCAGAAAACCAGAAACCAGACACCATTGAAAGACACAAAAGAAGCATATAGCACATTGTCCCTCGTTAAACTAAAGCTACTGTCACAAGATGGGAAAGCTCAAGCCAAAAACGGTGAAGAGAAAGGTACCTTGTACAGTTCGAGGAGCAAGTTGTCGATGGAATCCTGGGATTCATCGGGGCAGAGACACCGGAAAGATTTGATGGCTTCGATCCCCTCGTCAGATCGGTTTAGCTGTTTCATAACAACTGCCATGTCTTTCAACGCGCTATCTACCCGATCTCCAGCGTTTATGGCTGCCCAAAACAAGGATATAGCTCGGCCTGGGTCTTTGGAGATCAACTGTTCTTGAAGATTTCAATGTCAGAACAAGCAAAATACGCATAGCCCAGAAAAAGGAACTCAAGTAGAAACTGGAAACAGGAAAAAGGAAAAGACTTTGATATTTATCTTCCATCATCACCATTTCTTGGAAAACTTTCCTAAAATTTTCTGCGGAATCCTGAAATTTTCTGGGCAACCAAACAGCGGGAGTCACATATTGGCGGGACAACAAGATCAGAGTAAACCCTCAAGAATCAGAGGAATTGGACCCCAAAAATTATGCAATCAGACTGAAAAGGAAAACCCAATCAGACGAAGAACGTCTGTATTTTTTCTTCGGGAAAATCAAAGCGATACCTGAACATGTTTGGCTCTGACATACGGGGAATCGCCAGCAGGAACCTTGTGAACCATGTGAAAAGGTTCGCATTTATCCGTCGTCGATGTTGTCTTCCGCTCCGACATCGGCATCGCATCTCTTCTCCACGTGTTCCGTGTCGGCGGCGGCGTCCAGAAAACCCTCGCCGGAGCATGAGGAATGGATGAGATGGAGTTTACCGAAGCAGAGAGTAACATGAACGATCTTGTTGCGGAGTACCAGCAGTATCAGGACGCTACCATCGGCGATGAGGAGTACGAGGAAGAAGAGGAGCTTGAAGCTTGAGATTGATTTGAACCGATGCATAAGTTTGTGAGTTGAATTATTATCATTCCATTTCATTTTTCTTGGTTTTTTCTTTCCCGGGTTTCTCGATTTCTTTATCTTCCTTGTGTTTTCCATTGCGTGCCAAACTCGGATTGGGACTTGAGTGTGTATATTTCCAGTGAATTCCATTGGGAGGCATGACGAGCTTCTGTGTCTGTTCTTTGTGTTTGTTAATGAAAAACATTTCATATTACCACGTCTCGACTCTGCAGATTATGTTCCAACAACAACTAAAAGCAGTGATCTTGATTGTGTCTGAAACATTCTGCAAAGTGTCAAAACTGTTTGTCAAATTACACATCCTATAACTGCTGTCGTGATCCGAAACCTTAGGACAACTCAGATCCTGAATCTTCCCCTGCTGGTCTCGGGGAAATTTACAACGACACCCCCACTTACTTTCTCGGAAAAGTATCCAGTAGCGAGTTCTCGGATTCCTGAGAAACGTTCTTGGAAAGATCAAGAACACAAAGCAACGGGCGAGTGTATAAAAATCTGATTGATCATGTTTTTTCCGTGATAAAATGGACGTGGAAAATTTTGAAAATCAAGCTCCCGTTGGATGAAGAGGCTTATATTCGGAGACGAACAGAGACTGGAAATCAAACTTTCTGGAGAAAATCGGAGTCGCTCGACGTTTGAAATGAAAGGAATTTACCGTTGGCAGAACGAGGGATATTTATACATATAGAGTTGGGGTGAAGTGATCTAAAGATATTAAAGTGGGTGAAAAATGAGAATACGATATAATACAAGGACTTGTATCAAAACAAAAGTTCGTAAAGGGGGCTGCTATAATTCTTGAAACTCTGAAGGTCAACGGTAATAAACTTCACAAATTCGAGCCCATGACTATTAATCTACCCACCCTTTGAAGACGTTTTATTGAATGTTAATAACTAACCATATTTGCAAAATGGTCCATGGTTAAGTTGGGAAATCACATGACCCTTTATATAATCAGAAAGGGACTTTCTACTCCAAACTCTAAACTTTGAGTTCCTTGATCAGATCATACCATGACTCGAAAACAGACAACCGACAAGAGTGCTTCAGTTACTATTGTCTGAACCAAACTGTTCACTGTTCTTCTTCCAAAGGTATGGTCTTGTCTCCATCCTCTCTATCCCATTTCCATATGAGACTATAAGGCCGAACCTTCTTCTTACCCTTTGAAACATCATCTTCTTCTCCAGTTAATACTGATCCCTGCCTGAAAACAGCGATCTGTGAAGCGAACCCGGGCTCCACATCACCTGACCCTCCTACACCGCTGAACTCGACGCTGTAATGGTGCCGTCTGGCTAACTCTGATGCCCAGTGGTTGAACTGCTCCCTTGTCCACTCGAACTTGTGGTCATGGTTCCTGAATCTTGGCAGCTGCGATGATGATTTGTCTTCCGGGTCTTCTTCTTGGCTTTCTGGAATAGACCTCTGGAGAATTGAGTTGTACTCGTAGTTCGGAGTGGACACAATCAGGAGCTTCGGACAAAACGAGCTCAGAACCATGTCGCCGAATTGACAGGCTTGCTCTTCTTCCATATGCTCAATGACCTGTAAATTTGGAACAACGACCGAATAATAGAGTAGAACTCCCAAATTTGAAACCAGCAGAGAGCATATGAGAAGAAAGAAGATGAAGTGGAAGGAGATAATGGAGACCTCTAAGCAAGTGCCGATGTCAAAATCATGCAGCCTGGAGTCAAACTCGATAATGGAGCCCTCATACAGCTTAGCAGATTTGAAGTCGTTAGCTCCAGTGTTTAGTTTCGAGTGCAGCATCTGCAACCCAAAATCAAATCCGAAAAAAGATGCAATCTTTGAGTTAAATGCAGCAAATCAACAATATTCTTCAAAGCAACTCTTCATAATTTTCCTTACTTTTGCAGCACGGGCAAGACCCTTTGGCGAGATGTCGACACCAACAATGGTTTCTAGAGAAGTCGGATAGTCGAGTAAAGAGTTCAGTAAGCTTCCAGATCCGCAACCAAAGTCAACCTACATCAAGAACAAAGGTGATAATATCTCACATTTGTTTCAAATTGGCAATAAGGAAAGAAAGACAAAAAATATCGAAAGAATACCAAATTAGCAGCGGATGATTCTTTTATATGTTTCAGCGCGTATTCCACACGCTGCTTTGAAAGAGGAGGACTGAAAAAAGCCTCCTCCATTCGTTCTTCTGGGGGTACTTTCACTCCCAACAAAAGTATGCTGTACTCTAAATACGATGATTCTGCATAGACGAAAGCATTTCACCGTCATTACACATTTTTATAGTGAATCTTTCTTATTTCTAAAAGATTTCACTTAACACTGCAGTTTATGCTGAAATTACTCTACCGAGCAAGATAAGATATTAAAAAGGAAACTCACCCGAAGATAAGAGTGAACGGGTTCTGACAGTATCTGCAGAAGCAGCAGCCAGAATCGACTCTTGAGCAAGAAGTGAAGAAGCAAAAACAGCATGTTGACCAACAGACATCTGAGTGACAACTGATTCGAGAGACGGAACCATGGCTCCTGTCCCAACCTCAAACTCTATCTCTTCATTGCTTTCAATGAGTTCTTTTGCAAATTCACCATTTGTCACCAAAGACACAGAATAACACAGACAAACCATGGAGCCGCTAGATGGATAGACACCTGAATCTGAACCATTTGTTTCAGATTCAACACACTGGCTCGTCTCTGTAAATGGCATACTCACCCTGTGGAAATCACTTGTTCTGGCACCTGAACATGTCTCCTTAAGGAAGTTATGACGATGGAACTTAATATCTTCGTCAATAATGGAAGCTTCAAGTTCATCTGGATCTGCATCTATGTCGTCGAAAAGTCTATTAAACCATAACAGTACTTTTAGCGAAGCGCTTTGGATGGAATCATTTTGCTTCTTATAGAACTTTCTGTGAGAACACTCTAAAATCAAATCCTGAGACTTGGTAAGAACTTTCACTTCACATCTATACCTATTCTCAGATCCAGGTAAATCCTCTGTTTTCCTGTCTGAAGATGCCTCAGGCTCGAGCAAATCTGAAAGCTTCATCTTCTTGTGGGACCTTAAAATGTCAGAAACCGAGCTCAAAGGAGTAGTAGATGTTGAAAAGACAGGTTCTGCTAGTTGGTTCTGACGGCAGAACATGCTGAGAATCTCCCTGGGGAATGAACCTCTCCAGTTAGTTGTTGTAATGAATGATGATGGCAACTGAGCAGTAAGTATCGCTTGCCGCGAAATTTTGTAGATCCCATTAGGAGACATACCCAAACAAATCCTGCGGAACCCAAAAAGCTAATGTCATATAGTTTTATCCCGATTAAATAAAAATGGAAGAAAATCTCAATTGAAAGTCGGTAGGATCAAAAAGCACCTGTAGTATGACGTTAAGGTTACATCGTTACAGTGAAGATTATGGGACTTCCATGTGTAACCAACAGATGCCATGATTGCATCCCCATAAATATCTTGACCACATACATAACTTGCTCTTGCATTCCGATACTTTTTAGATGATTCTTCTTCATCATTAGAAGGTCCAGAGGCTTTCGATGAGATATCCAAGGATTTCCACTTGGGAATAGCAGAGTACAATCTAGTATCAGAGGAAGATCTCCCAACCATCCTGCCGAATACCAAGAATACTTAAATTCCAGATTAACATCAAGAGAAATCCACTCATTCAATAGCACAAAAGAGAAAAAATGTATTTCCACCTGGAAATCAGAATGTGATTACCATCCTTCAGGCCCAGCTTTTCAGCAATAACATCCAAGTAATACTGACCCGATGAAATATCGAGAGTAACTGGCTCAACATCTTCCTCAAGGTTACATGGTATATGTACGGCTTCAATTTTTATGCTTTCTGATGAATCAGATACTTGAGTGGCCAATGCCTCGAGGATTTCTGAAGGGTATGCATCAGACCTTTTTATTGAAGCTGCGGCAGGAGATGCGATAATGAAATCGGGTAATTTTTCCGCAGCTTTGAAGACATAGGATATGACCAAGAACGGATCTGAGTCGACCAAAGGATTAACCGTTTTGCAACGACTGTTAATCTTTGAATCAAATGCAGCGATGACGGAAACAGGAACTGAGCCGGAAAGATCACCGTCTCTTCGTAACGCTGCTCTAACGTGACTTCCCAGAGGATGATCAGATGAAAGAAACTGTTACGAAATCAGAGTAGATATCAACAACAAGGACAGTTGGAAAAATTATTTCTTTTTTCTTCCTTGCACTTTCCATATACGATGATATGACAAACTCTCTATAGCCTGAAGAAAAACAGATTTGTAAACTACAAAAAGAGAGATTATAGCTAATGCTTATACACATGCATAAACGTAGATGTAAGAATCAAAAACCCATTTCGAATCACTAACCTCATCAGAAAAGATATGCTTAATGCGTCCAACGATATCATCCCAAGCCTCATCCACTGTAAGATTATCGTTCCTGGGACGAATACCTAGCTGCAGCAAGAACAACAGTACTTCTCTTCTTTAACAAAAATGAAATTCAAACAACAAAAAAGGCACCATCTACAAGATTTTCATCCAAAAAATGGACCGTCCTATTGCTTATTCTTACTCACTCATCCTTGATTTCCGTCTCAAGATGTAACATTGGCATAAACAAAAAGAGGCACGTACCTTTTCAAGGGCCATCTCAGCGGCAGATTGCTCAGCGTCCTTCTTCTTCCTGAAGACGTTCGATAAAACTTCAAAATCTGGAAGCTGCAAATGGCAGCGATAAAGGCATGGCCCCTTTTGAGGAATTTTCAAACCAGGGCAACCCTTCTCCGCAGAATCATGAACTTCCTCGACTGTATAGCTTGCTGTAGTACCAAACTTCTGGTGTATAATAGCCTTAGGTGTAAGGGTCTGCTTCCCAACGCACGCCATTACAGACCCAATAAAGATTCTCTATACCCTAAGAGAAACAACAACGAAAAACGGTATAATTTACACAGGTCATGCCACAATTAGGATAAAGATTGTAACTTTACGCATATTAACAACATCATCATATTCACGGGTCCATATTCTCGTCTCGATTTGTGAATCGACGACAGCAGAAGCAAAAATAGGTTAAGGAAATCGAAATTCGCGAAGAACCCAGCAGTAGCAAACGATGCCAAGGAATACAGAACGTATGGGTAGAAGCAAGTATCTACCTTTCGACGGCGACAGTGGCATGGAGGGAGAGAGACAGAAGTTGTGAAGGCGGGCTTAAGAGAGCGAGGGAGTTATGTTATGGAGGAGAAGAACAAAGAACAAGAAAAAAAAATGCTAAACAGATATTGACGCAAGTCAAACGTCGTCGTTTCGGAAGTCAAATTTTTTCTTCCCATGAGAAATTCCTTTGTTTTATTCTTGGGCCCACCCTTTAATTTTTTGCTTTTTCTTGTATCATATCATATATCTTTTCTTTTTGGTAAAAAAATAAAAAGATGAATCGAGAGAGGTTTATGCCATTCATACATTTTTCGTATAAATTTTGCTCATTTTGCATTCAAATTTGATCATTTTGGATAATTAATATCTAAAATCTTATTATAATAAAAAGGGGTCCACTCTATGAATCGTCATTGATGAGCTTCTCTGAAGCAGAAAATTGGATAGGGTAAATCACTCAAATATACCAAAGGCGTCGTACTCATTTCTCGGATACACCCGAAAAATTATAACCCATTAATTTTTTTTTGAAAAGACCATATTACCCTTAATGAAACTATGTAATTATAATTGTAAAGTCGTAATTGATTCTAAATGCAGTTATAATTGATTCTAAATACAGTTGCAATTGATTTTAAATGAGGTGATAAAAAATACATCTAATTGTTTACCGGATCTTTAGTTGTTATACGGTCGTAAATACTATTTTTTTTAGTCATATATTAGTTATATAATAGTCGTAATAAAGTCGTAAAAAATATGAAAAAAAGATTATTTCAGACTTTTTAAACCTAAAAATGGTATAGAATTGAAAAAAAAATTTGATTTTTTTTAGGTGTGTCACTGAAATTGGTGCGATTATAGTTGAGTGATTTTCCCAATTGGATATGGGTAACACCTTCATCTGCCCGCAGTCTCTCTCTCTGGTTGGCGTAGTAAAAGTTTTCTTTTTAAATTGTGACCCTTAATGTTTCAGATTTCCCGGATAAAGGCTTATACTTTCTAAAGAGGTCATATACGTCCCTTGTATACCCTGTGTTGTTACCAATAACCAATTGTTGGTCAAATTAACATCCACTTGATTCGTATTTTTAAATGCCATAATCTACTATAACTATGTAAGAGAACTACATATTTATCACGTCTCTATAGTATTCTTCCTAATGAACAAACCCGTTACGGAAAGAAAGTGAAAGTTGTAATAAAAAAAAAAAAGTGAAATTGTTGTGTATTGAAATCTTAACAAAAAAATAAAAAATAAAAATATTTAGGACAGTTATTTATTGTATTAAAGAATACTTGACGAAAAAAAAAAGAAACATATAATAAAACGGTAAACCGGACAAAAGCCAAGGTACACACACTCACACTTAAATCTTATATATATAAAAGTAGAGTTTTTCACTAGAGGATGACACGTGTCCTACTTCTTCTTTTTTAAAAAAAAAAATTCAATACGTGTGTATTACTCCTTTCTCTGAAAAAACAATGAATCCTTTTCAATTGAATTATAATAAATTAAATTAATACATTTGAATCTGAATATCAATTTTTCAAAAAAAAACTTTAAATCGTAATTATACTAGGAGTTTGAATCTGAATATATATATAGATTAATGGAATCTAAATTTATATTTATTTAGTAATTTGAATGTATGCATAATAACAAATTCAATTTACCAATTTCATACATCTAGAATCTGAATATCAATTTTCCAAAAAAAAACATTAAATTCAAATAGCAAGGGTTGTTCTCTTTATATTTTTATATTCTACATAATATTATTAAATTTCCATCTCTCTCTATATATGCATGCTCGCTCTTATACATACGTTTTATTATGTATATAAAAATAGAGTTATGTATATATATAGTCAGATTTACACGTATTTATATTTTTAGATTTTTCATGATTTAACGTAATTATACTAGGAGTTTGAATCTGAATATATATATAGATTAATGGAATCTAAATTTATATTTATTTAGTAATTTGAATGTATGCATAATAACAAATTCAATTTACCAATTTCATACATCTAATTTAAATTTATTTCAACAAATCTTTTAGACCTCATTAACTTCAAATCTTAATGAAAAACACTATATATATGCTTGCATCTCTTTCGTAGTTTTCTACCATTCCCTTAACAAACACAATATTTTCAAATAGCAAGGTTTGTTCTCTTTATATTTTTATATTCTACATAATATTATTAAATTTCCATCTCTCTCTATATATGCATGCTCGCTCTTATACATACGTTTTATTATGTATATAAAAATAGAGTTATGTATATATATAGTCAGATTTACACGTATTTATATTTTTAGATTTTTCATGATTTTAATTTTCATCACAATAATCAGCAATCAAACATGTCAATTTATTAGTGTTAGCAATTTTTAAAATCTTACTATACATAACCTTTCATAGTTGTGCGCCAGACTTTTTTTAGATAATCAGAACAGTTGCAAGTATGAGCGTTGTTGGTCATTCTGATCAAAAAGTGGATGTCAAACTTGGACACAAGGTATTTTTTTATTTTAATTTTCACATTATTTAGATATCTTCTTTCGAATATCATTGTGATTTACTGATCATTATTTAACATATTTCCATTATTATCATTAGTTATATTAAAGTTTTTATCATAAATATGAATAGTAATCAATATTGTTTCATAAATTTATATCACTGAATTAAAATAATCAAGTTTTTGCAGTTGTGGCTTTGAAAAAAAATATTATTATTTACTTGAAGAAAATTATCCGTAGCAATGATTACAAATTATAATACAAATTCGTTATGTTTCTGTTTAATTACTTTGAAGTTTTTTCCCTTCGATTTTATAAAAACTATATTTTGGTTCTCTTCATATTTCCCTAAGTAAACTTTTATAAAAAATTAGGATTTAAATTTTCACCGTTTTATCAGATTTAGATATTTTATTTTTACTATATTTTGGTTTTTTCTCTATCTCATCCAAAGAAGTATAATAAATTAAATTAATTTATCTAGAATTACTCCTTTAGTATATAATTATAAATATTGTTTGAATTTGAATAATTTAATTTTTTAAAAAGTATAATTGTTCTCCGGGAAAGAGGCATGTTGAGAAAAAAATACTGTCCTATTATTTTTTTAAATGAATCCTTTCATATCAAATGAAGTATAATAAATTAAATTAAAACAAATATTGTTTGAATCTGAATATTATGAAAATTTTGAAAATATAAAAAAAGTTTAAATGTAATTACAATGGAAGCTTAAATCTAGATGAATATATAAATTAATTGAATCTAAAATTTAATTTATTTAGTAATTTGAATATATACATAATAACATATTCAATTTATCAATTTGATACATGTACTTTAAATTTATTTAAACATATCTTTTAGATCTCATTAACTTCAATTCTTAACGAAAAACTCTATATATATTATTGCATCTCTTTCATAGTTTTCTATCTTTTCCTTAACAAAAACAATATTTTCAAATCTTAGATTTGTTCTCATTATATTTTTATCTTCTGCATAACATTTGTTAAATCTCCATCTCTCTCTCTCTATATATATGCATGCATACACATATCTTATAGACACGTTTGCTTTTTTTTTTTAATTTGGTTTATTTTTCGTTTAGTATTACCTTTTCTTATCTCCGATTCATTATATTTCTATTTTTTTGGTTTTTACATAACATTACTAAATCGCAATCTCTATACACTTTAACGTTAAATGAAACATGAATTATCACTCTTAAAATATAATGATTGTATAACAACAGAAAACATAAAATTAGAGACATTATGATCCTAATATAGGTCCACTCGCATTGTTCATACATATATATATATGTGCATGTATTTATGAACTGTATAAGAATATATATATATATATATATATGCATGCATTTATAAACACTCGAATAAATTCTCTATATATATATATAT